TGGTTCAAGTCCCAGCTGCTCTGCTTCCCTTGTAGCTCCCTGCTAATGCTGCTGAAAGTACAGCAGGTGAGGACCAATGCTTGGGCCCTTGCAACCCATAACAGGGGACCAGGATAGAGTACTTGGCTCCTGGTTTTCGCCTATCCCAGCTCCAACTTTTGCAACCATTTGGGGATTGAACAAATGGATGGAAGATCTGTCTCTGCTTCTCCCTCTCTGTCACTCTGCCTTTCAAATAAATAGAAAAAAATATTTTTTTAAAAAAAGAATATGGCCCATGTTTTAATTTCCTGTGACTACTGTTAGCAATTAACTACAAATCTAGTGGCTTAAAACAACATATATTATCTTTTTTAAAAAATTTATTTCTATTCATATTGAAAGGCAGATAGAGAGAGAGAAAGCTAGCTTCTATCTGCTGGTTCACTCGCCAGATGCACACAACAGCCAAGACTGGGCCAGGCCAAATCCAGGACTCGATTCAAGTCTCCTATATGGGGCCCAAGTGCTTGAGCCATCATTTGCTACCTCTGAGGGTACACATCAGCAGGAAGCCGGATTTGAAGTGGAGGCAGGGCCCAAACCCAAACACTCAGCTATGGGCTATGAGCATTCCAAGTGATGACCTAATCTCTGTACCACGATACTCACCCACTCTCTCACAGCTCTGGAGGCCAGGAGTCTCAGATGGGTTTTAGGGACTGAAATCCAGGTGTTGACAGGGCTGTGTTCCTGTGGACACCTGAGAGAGAATCTGTTCCTTGCCTCTTTCAGCTGTCTCTGGCTGGTGACCGAACATGTTCAGGGATTCAACTTCAGATGCTTGTTGGGAGTGGCTGTGAATCGGTCTATCACACATGGCTTTGGACAGACTTCCTAGGCGCCAGTCTCTATTATCTGCTACCCCTGCGACTGTGCATCTTCCTGACGTCCAGCTTCCTCTGCAGATTTGGGGCTGTAAGAGATGGCTGCTTGAGTCACTGGCAGGTGAAATAGGACCCGTGAAGAAACGTCTGGTATTTCCAACTAACTTGACACTCACTGAATGTTTGTTACTTGGTGGCTATTACTAACCCGAGCTGACCAAAGAGGCCCAAGACAGTCCACAATGATCCAAGGTCTACACTGAGAAGCAGAAGAGTAGAGAAGGGCAATCGCTCCCATCTCATACCCTAATAGGCTCCTTCCCAGCCTCCTAACCACCAAGCAGCCTGGATCCCAGGATAGACCAAGCCACCGAGACTTCAGCTTGGCAGGATCCAGCACCCAGGGCTTGGCCGACCTCCAGCAATCTCACCCCTCCTGCCCTCTCTGTGGATCATTTATTCCAAGAGCCCTGCTATAAATATCCACTTAGTGAAATGCCTTGCTCCTCAGACACCCTCTCCCCCACCCGCCGGCTGCCTGCACCCTCTTCAAGCAATGCCAACTTGCAATCAGGCTGCAACCTGAGTACACTTTGCACACCCAGCACCACCCAGCTGCCCAGCCTAATCTGCCGGAGTGCACTGGCATGCCCCCAAGTTTGCTCTTGTAAGTTAATGGCACAGCAATTGGTTGTTAAAAATACTAATTGACATTCAATAGGTGATGTTACTTGATAACGGACAGGCTGCTCCAATTCTATATTTTCTTCTGTTCACTCTCTCTTCCTTCTTCATCATTTTTTTTTTAACACTCAGGAATACCCAACTGAGGTCAGAAGTCAACTGGGGATAGGTGAGAGAGCATAGGGCCAGAGGACGAGTACACAGAGATGGACACTGGCTCTAGCAATAGCACAGAAAAGCCCAAGACCCAGGACTGGGAAGAACGGTAAGGATGAGGCTGTACGCTGCCTCCTTCTTTTGTGCCTCCTTAAAAAGCGCCAGCCTGAGGATCCAGGAGAGTCCGTGATAGAAGAGACGGGTGCTCTCTCTTTTCTGTGCACTTTGGGATTCAAACTGTGCTTTCTCTCTATGTGCAGGCATCTTTCAAAAAGAAACCCCAGTTAGTCTTTAGCACTGGTCAACAGTCATGTTTACTTCTTACGCTCCCTCTGCTTGACAATAAGAAAGTGTTTGCCCGCCAGGGCAAAAACCTTTGCTTTCTCCCTCCTTTGCTGACTTACATGGTTAGAATTTGCCAAGTCAGAAATGGTTGCCGAGTGTCTGTTCTGGGCTGGACCCTGGGAACATAATGGTGACAAGGAGAGAAAAGAACAGTGCCCTTCGCACCCTGTGGTTTTGCAGAGAAAGGCTCTCAGGGATCATGGGTGTTGCTTGTGGCAGTGTTATGGGAGTGGCTCTCAGGTGATCTGGAGGTTGGGAGTCAAGGGAACTCTCCCTGGGGAGAAGCTGGGACCTCTGTGGGCTCTGGGCTTTGCAGGATGTTCTTTGTGCCAAGGCAGCTTCTCATGAGAGAGAATCGTGGCTGAGCCGGAAGTAGCTTGAGTGTCAAGAAGTTCAGGGTCCCACGGAAAGCAGGTGGCTCAGAGCCTAGAGTGTTTCAGATACAAAAGACCAAGTCTTCCCCAGATGGGTGTAGGCCCTAGCGGAGCTTTATCAGCACAGGCATCCAGAGCTGGGGCTGGCGTCACAAACCGCAGCAGCCCGAGGCATGGCACACGCCCTCCCTCTCCTGTTTCTGAGCATGGCTCTTCTCTGCACTGGTCACGTTCTCTCTGCCCATCTGTGGATCACACAGCCAGGAAGCAAAGAGAAGGCTGCAGGCAGCTGCAAGCTTCAGACATCCCAGCCCATGTAGCTGGCAGCATACAAAATCCCAGGGAAGGACTCGGATTGGACTAACTTCAGTCACCATCCAATCAGGAGTCAGGGGTGGCATCTCCATCAGAACCAGGAGGAGTGAGTGAGGAAGAGGAGGAAGAGCCCCAAAGACAAGAAGCACTTTTCATCAGAATCACAGCAGAAAGTGAAGCTGACCTGACGTGACCAATGGCTGTCCACTCCATCCGCAACCACCAGACTTAATACTCACACTGGTAGTAATAGTTGGCCAAGGCATATGGTTCCTCTGGCCCTTCCCTATGTTATCAAAACTGATGTTTCGGTTAGGTGAGAATGCTGCTGTTGTCTTTGGTGTGTGCCTACATTTTCTACTTCATACGCCTGTTCTACAGAGGGAAAATGATTTCTTAGGCTGGATGATGCATTCGTGAGTACTTGTCAAGCTGCAGGGTACCCGCAGACCTGGCTCAGCAGGTCTGAGCTGGGACCTGAAGCCGGGACCTGAAGCCAGGACCTGAAGCCGGGACCTGAGCTTCTGCACTCTGTTCTTGGGCAATGTGTTTGCTGCAAGGTTTTCATGTTCCTCTAACTTGTGGACCAGGGCGGGGAGACTAGGAGGAGGTCTAAGTGTTTTAATAGAATCAGATGAGAATACAGTCTTAGACTGGATGGAACATTTAGAGATCGCTTTTTCTCTCTGGAAGCTCTGGTCTAGTTTCTGTGTGTCTGGGTTGCCAATGCCAGGATCGCCACCCAATCCGTTGAATCTGCATGCATTTGGAGAATGGCGCAGCACAGAGGCAATTAGGGGGCGCCAAGAAAGAGTTAAACCCTCTGGGAAATAGAGTCCAACAGTCCCAGGCGAAGGCAGAGGGGTCGACCAAGCTCTAAGGGCTAATACTATTTGGTTTTCCAGGACTATTTGTTACATCAGGTTAGAGCAGGCAGAAGGTCGGGGGTCGGCTGCCACCCCCCACCCCCAATCCCACTGTCTCCTCCATTTGCAGCCTCACTGCCTCCTTTAATCAGATGACCCTCGACACGGAGCTTTCCTTGGGATTTTCTCGCCAGCGCCCTCAGACTGGTTGCAGCCGACGCCAGCCGTCTCTCTGGCCCTGGCCCTCAGAGGCAGGCGAGCGGGCTAAAAGGCACTTTGTGTAAGGGAAAACATCCGTGGTGATTGGCGCTGCGGTTTGCCCGGACAGCAGCAGATGGGGAAAGGGGCTTTGTCTTCCACTGTGTTTCCTTTTCATCTTCGTCCTGCCCCTCGCCCCCATTTCTGGTCTGTGAAATGTGCGTGCTCTCCCTTCCTTCTTCCAGGCCTCGACTTTGTTTTCCTTTCCATCCCCTTATTTGGGTGCATGTGAGCATCCTTCCCTTTCCTCTCTCTTTTATTTGGATAAATTTCATCTCCTGACAGTGGTAGCCGTGGGACTGATCTGCATGGAAGCCTGCCCGCCACTCATCTCCCCGCTGTGTCCCCAGACAAGTGAGCACAGCGTTCTGGAGGGTTCTGTAACCTCCCTGAGCCTCACTGTCCTTTCGACACAAGGAAGCTGAAGACGCCACCCTTCGGGATTGTTGTCAAGAGTTAGGCAAAGTAGAGGGTCTGGCATACCGTTTGTGCCCAGTTAATATTAGTCTTTTTGTATCCCAAAGTTCTGTCTCCTCCTCTAACTGTGGTTCTTTGAAGAAGATTCATTTACATTCCAGAATATTCTCCACAAGAGAAAATCTGTGCAGATGGTATTATGATGGTGTCCTAACAAGAACCTAAGCCTGTCACGTCATAGCTGTGTAGCCTTGCTCAGGTTACTGAAGTTCTCCAAACCTCACTCTCCTCCTCTGCAAAATGGGCGTAAGAGCTCTTCTGGGAGAGCGAGAAAGCCTACGTGAGCTGCTGTGAGGCAGCACCTGTCCTAGAGCCTGGCCATGACTTGGTCTTTCTCCTGTCACTCATTCCTCCTCAGCCAGGCTTTATTTTCCAGTGTTGCACAATGCATTATTAGTGCTTACATGGACAGCCTACCACGCTAATATGCATCCCCCTGCTGAGCTCTCCATCTGTCCGTCCATCTATCCATCTGTTTGTTATCTATCCACCCATGCTTCTGTCAGCCCATTCATCCATTGCGCATTCATCCCTCCACCCACCCCTTGTCCATCCATGTATCTATCTGTCCATCCTGCTATCCAGCATTCATCAACCCATCCACCCGTTCATTCATTCAGTCATTATATAATAAATAATCTTATCCTAAATCATGCTTTTTCATAAAACTCTATTTGATAGCTCCAGAAAAAAAAAGGTGAAGAAAATAAAGACAATAACAACATGATTTTGGAGACGTAATAGCCTTCAGTGCACGCCATCAGGGAGCAGATGAAGAAGGGGGCAGGGGCTCTGGCCTTGAGGACAGGACGTATGTGGTTGTTTTGCTTAGCAGTTTCTAAACTGACTGGGCCAGAACCAAAGGGCTCTGTGGCTGTGAGAAGATGACTGACGGAGGGCCTGCCACTTCCAACACAGCAGCTCTCCATCCTGTCCGGTTTTTATTCACCTCTGTTTAAATTTTAACTTGGAAAAATATAGTGTTATGCTGCTAAGCCATTTTTAAAAATTGGGAAAGCTATTTTATTTGAAAGACAGGGAGAGGGGCTGGTGCTGCGGAGTAGTAGGCTAAGTCTCTGCCTACAGAGGCATCGCCCATATGAGCGCCAGTTCTAGTCCCGGCTGTTCCTCTTCTGATCCAGCTCTCTGGTATGGCCTGGGAAAGCAGAAGAAAATGGCCCAAGTACTTGGCTCCTGTACCCACATGAGAGGCCTAGAAGAAGCTCCTGGCTTCAGATTGGCCCAGTTCCAGCCGTTGCGGCTCTTACCTCTATGGCCCGGTGACATCGGGGCATCAGTTGTTCTCATCCAAGTAGCAGATGCCACAAGAAGCAGTGAAACTCCTGCTAAGCAATTTTTTTTTTGTTTATTTGAAAAACAGAGTTACAGAGAAAGGTAGAGCCAGAGAGAGTGAGAGAGAGAGAGAGAGAGAGAGAGAGAGGTCTTCCATCTGCTGGTTCACTCCCCAGATGACTGCAACAGCCAGAGCTGAGCTACTCTGAATCCAGGAGCCAGGAGCTTCTTCCAGGTCTCCCACGTGGGTGCAGGGGCCCAAGGCCTTGGGCCATCTTCCACTGCTTTCTCAGGCCACAGCAGAGAGCTGGATCAGAAGAAGAGCATCCAGGCCTAAACCGGCACCCATATGGGATGCCGGCACTGCAGACTGGGGCTTTAACTTGCTGTGCCACAGCACCAGCCACTGCTAAGCAATTTTTAAAAGTGCAGCTCTAATAACCCACTGTACATGCTAAAGAAAAGTCCAGAGACAGCTAGCTGTCTTCTGTCTTTAATCATAGACTATAGAGTCAATCTCTCACTTGATAGAATTTTTAGAGTGATTCCCATAATCCAGGCAATGGGCTAACAATTCAAATAATGACCTCATTTAATTCAGTAATAATCCTGTGGTTGGTATTGTTACTAACTTCATTTCTCAGATGAGGAAGCTGAGGCTAAGAGATGTCAATGCACTTGCCCAGTCACACTGCAGTTAGGTTAGGACAGTGGGGGGTTGAGATTTAAACCTAGGAGTTATCATTAAAAGAACCCTGGGAGGCCCCTGATCATCTCTGGGCCAGGGAGACCTTAGAGAAGAAACGCCAAGAGGGTTGTGTTCCTGTCTCTTCCCTGGAGTTCTCTCTCCTCCTTCAGATGTACAGTGGGCACCAGAGCATATTCTGGGAGTCAGCTACCCCCCTCCCTAAAATTGTAGGTTCTTGGATTTGGAAGGACTGAGTCCGGTGCTTTCCTAACTGGGTCCTCAGAGCCTGAGGCACCCTAGAGATTCTTCAGAGTTTCCACCATGCAGGATCCGAGGTCAGCATTTCAAGCTGAATGAGAAACATATTGGGCTTCGTGTTTAAGACTGGCCAGCAACGAACTGTGGAAGTGGCTCGCCTTCTTGGAGACTCTGCTTTCTCATCGCTGGAAAGGAGTTAGAAGTGATACTTAGAGTCTAGGGTTACTCGAGAGTTCAATGAGAAAAGGCATTCCGATGGCTGCATAGAGTGCCTGGCGTATGGTGAGCACTCAAACAACAAACTACTACTACTGCTGCTGCATCATCATCATCATCATCATCATCATCACTTGTCGTAGTTGGAAAACCAAAGACCTATAGCAACCTGGGTGAGAATCGTCACGCGTGAACTGGAGGACCACCGTGTGACCGTCCCTCCCCACAGTCTTTCTCCGTGCTTTGTGTGTAGGTCTTGAAGGTCCCCGCTGCCGCTGACTGACCCCACTGCAGTAGACTGATGCTTTCAGCCCTGAAGGTTGGAACTGATTGGAGTCTTGCTGCCGTTTCTTGTGAGGTTGGTCTGGAATTGGCAAATAGGAATCTTCCCCTTGCAAGAAATAGAGATTAAAAGAAGAAAACAAAGTGTGGATTTTTATACTTAGTTTCCTAGAATAAGAGTTAGAAGTTAGACAAACTCTCATACCTCTGTGTGCATCATTCCCTTGCCTATCAATGAGGCAAACACTTCCAAGCATGGCTCCCTCACGGGGGCCGTAGAGGAGGTCAAATTAGAGAAGGCAGCGTTTGTTGGACTCCTGTAAGTCAGGCCAGCTGCATTTTCCCTCTTCACCTTCGCCGTAACTCCAGGAGATGGATGATGTGACCCAGCACCTCACGGTAAGGACAGTGAGGCCCACACGGGTGCGGCGCCCCAGCCAAAGACAGGCAGCTGGCACGTGTTCTGCTCTCCACCAACTGGTTCTTCAGCATTGCACTCTGGAGTTCCTGTGTGTTTTAGGTTAGGTCCCCACACCAGCTCGTGAGGAAACCAAACACCAGTTTGAGATGAACATGGATTTGGATATTTTGTCTGTCTTGTTAGGTGTATTTAATTTTACCAGCATGGCTGCTGTAAGTGCCCACCTCTGCTTCTCCAGCCCTCACCGGGTAGAAATTCTAGATCAAAGAGTTTTACGTGGTTGTCTCCTTCTACCTTAAGCATAAGGCACTGTTTTACCTTCATTTTGAACAAGGGAGGCTTGATGCCATTGGTTAATGATTATTTTTGGAATACCTACTGTGGACTACCTGCCTCTCCAGGCGCTGTGAACACAGCAGTGAGAGAGCGGAGCCCTAGCCCTCAGACGGCTCTGTTCTGTTTGATGGATGGAGGGATACAGATCAGAAACACATCAGTGAAAGGGGCGGGTTTGTGGTGCGGTGGTTAAGGCACCTTTAGAAGGCCACGTCCCGTATCAGAGTGCCTGGGACAGGTTCTGGCTCTGCTTCCAACCCTGTCTTCCTGCTGTTGCACACCTGGGAGGCAGTGGATATGGCTCAAGTACGGGGGACCTTGTCACTTACATCAGAGACATGGATTGTGTGAGTCCATAGATGGGTTCTTCCTTCCTGGCTTTGGCTTAGCTGAGCCCTGGCTGTCACAAGCTTTTAGGGAGTGGATCAGTGAATGGAAGATACCCCACTCCCCCTGAATTTAAAATAATTAAAACTAACAATAATAAAAACAAACATACCCGTGAATGAGATAATACAGCGCTGATAAGAAGAGGAAGAGGAGAAAGAGGAAGAAGAAATAGGGTAATGAGAAAAAGTGACCGAGCAAGACAGGGAGAGGGTTATCATTTGGGTCAAATTTGCATGACAGCAATTGTAGACAAAGAATTTTTAGCAGGAGCTGCATATACAAAGGTCCTGGGGCAGACACGGCATACATCCAGTAGATTAGGGGACTCACACCCCAGAGCCTGTTCACTGCATTTGGACCCAGGGCTGTTCTCAGAATTGATCCTGAACCTCCCCATTCCACTGCAGACCTGCATACTGCAGCCAGGTGGTGGAGGAGCTGCAGCTAGATGACAGAGTTACTGAGGATTTTCAGGGAAGACTCAGCCAGAGCTGCCACTTCCCAGGAAGCACGCACAGCCCCGAGGATGATTGTCCTAAGAGAACACGGAGAAATTAGGCCTGAGAGTCTCATACCTCTTGGTCGCAGGATACAAATTCCAATAAGAGACTCAAGGTCACATCCACTGCAAAGTAAGTGAGGCTGCCTGTCTCCTTGTCCTTACCAAGAAATGCGAACATGAGTGATGCATGCATGCATGGTGCTCGGGACTGGGGGAAGGTGGGCTCCAGCGCAGTATCAGCCAGCACGTCTCCAACTTCACTGAGCACCTGAGCCTCCTGGGGAGGATTCCCACACCATAGGGCCCAAGAGTCTGCGTTTCTCAGACGGTTCCAGGCGAGCTGGGGCAGCTACTTCACGGAACGCATGTAGAGAAGCACGAATATGAGTTCTACATTGAAGATTCTAGAGGGAAGAACACAGGGCAGTCCTGATGCCAGCTGCTGCTCATGGACTGTTCCTTGCTCACCTGACGTCCTTTTATTTTGTCCTTGCAGCCATGCTGTGGGCGAAGCTGAGACGCTAAGAGCTTACGTGTGTGGTTCAGTGTCACCAGCTGGGAGAGTCTCTTATCCTCTCACTTTTCACCTGGGAGACGGAGTTTGGAAGTGGGTGGCAAGCTGCTGTCCAAAACCGGTTGGGTCTCGCCATTGGATTAATAGACTCCATGCTATCTCATACCCAGGTTTAGCCTTACCTGTCAGGTGGGAGGGTGGGTAGCATTGGTTACCAAGACTAAGGTTCCACCCCTTAGAAGGTAGCACCTGATACTGTCTCTTAGAGGGATCTGGGGTGTCCAGGAAGTCCCACCCACTATCTGTGTCTTTTGGAAACCTTGACACGTTTACCTTACTCTCTTCTCCAAATGCATCAAAACTCAGTGGTCTTGGTAGATGAGGAAAAATGCCTTGGGGATGACGTGACCTGCCAGGTGGTGTGTCGGGTCCTGCTGGTCCCACTGTGGTAGTAGTGATGCTTCCCACCCTCCTGGGGCATGCAGGTCTGTGGAAAGAGCCAGCTAGTTAAGTAGGTCCCTCCCACGAGGGATCACAGGGTGAGTACAGGCTCCTCAGGACACACACCAGGGGCCGCTCACCCAGACGCACCTGCGGGTGTTGAGGGAGTCATGGATGAAGCAGTGTCCTCCCAGCCCAGGCTACAAGGACACTTGACACCCCCACTCTCTCTACTTCTTCCTGCCTGATCCATTCCATCAGCTGCAGGCTGGGCCAGGGCTTACCCAGCACTTACAGAGAAATGATGCCATAGTCTCAAAGCAGAAAACAAGAATAAAATATCGATAGAGGTTGCTCCCTCCCACTCCCCAAGAATGGGCATGAGTTTCCAACCCAGAAAGATCTAGACTGAGAGGAAGCACAGAAGCATCAAGGATTCCCCTCTCCTCCCCTCCTCCCCCCTCCCTCTAACCACCAGTGCCACCCCCACCCTGGAGCCACTCCCCATCCTTCCTCCCCGCACTCACCCCCCCCCCCCCAGGAGACTGGAGGAACTTGGCAAGCCATCTCGTCGCCAATCAATCTGTGGTGTAACAATTAGCACTTAGGCACCACTCATGCTAAACACACGCTTAGAAAACACTTAAAAAAAAAAAAAAGGAAGAAGAGTCATCAGAGGTAGGAGCCAGGGCAGCACTGGTGGTGGTGGAGGCGGGTGTTGGGGGGAGATGTCAGGGAGCGGAGCCAGGAGGAGGCCTGGGGAGGAAACAGATCAATGAGCTGCGGAATGGAAGGCATCTAATACCCTATTATTGACGAGGCCAAAGCACTTTGAGGCGTGTTTCCACCGTGAGCAATTAGTCTGTGAGACCGCAGGAGTTAAGCTAACACGGGCTGCACCCCCATCTTCCAATTGGATGACACTTTCATTTGCTAGGAGCCCCCGCAGCAGTGGCGCCAGCCTGCAGCCATAATGGGGCCCATCCACGGAAGGCCAAATGCTCCAGCCTCCCAGAAGGCCCCCCTCGCGCCCCCACCCGCCCCAGCCCCCACCCCACTCCCGGTAACAGAATCCAGTCGACCGGGAGTCTGTCTGCGTGCCTGCGAGCTGCCCAAATTGATTGTAATGGTTTTATCGCGCGCAGAAAGAGCTGGCTGTTTTCTCGCCTCTGCTGTCGGCTCGCAGGCAGGAGGAAGTGACTCCTCCTCGGGCGCACTGGATCGGATGAAAGGCAACTTTTGTTTGTTGGAGAGAAACTGGCAGCCTGTTGGTGGTGGCTGCTCCTCTGCCAGCGTCCTCATTGCGCACACAGCAGGGGGTCAAGGGGGACATGGTGGGGGGGATTGCTTCCCCATCACTTCTGGGTTCCTCTCTAATGGCTTGAGTGTCTGGGGACGAGGATTCTAGAGAAAGGCTTAGGGAACAGAAGGATTAATGATGAGGATGCTATTGATCAATTATTACCGATCAACAAAGATGGTGATTTGAGTACCTACCCTGAGCCAGTCCCTGTGTTCCAGCACCCTCTAGAGATGTCTTTGTAATATTCCAGCAACCCCATTAGGTAGGCATTGTTTCTCCCATTCACAGAGAGGGAAACTGAGGCGTCGAGGGGTGTTGTGCAATTGTGGAGGCTACACAGTGACCAGGAGAGTGAGGGGAACTGGAACGCAGTCACGTTCATGACTAACCTGGTAGTGCTTTCTCCACCGACTGCACTGCTCCCTTCAGTCGGGCGGAATGAGAAGTGACACCTTCAGGATCAGGGGTTCGCCGTGTGTCGGGGAAATGGGGACCTTCTCGATTCAAGCTTAAGGGACCCTAGACTGAGCTGATAGTGCAAGTGAAACACCCATATCCCACCCCACCTGTGTACACGCCACACTCTTTCTCATCACCTCGCCTGTTCCCTTAGCCTGCAGTTCCCAGCTCCACTCCACATGTTCCTGGAGAAGGTCTAGAAAGTCTTCAAAACTGACCTCTTGGAGGAGGACTCCTGTGGTTGCTGCCCGCGCCTGCCGCTCTTTGTAGACTTCACCGTCATCTCAGCATCCTGTCTTTTTAAGACTGTGTCAGTGCAATTGGATGCAACAGTTTGGGGGATTATCTGTGGATTTCCCTCTTCAGCACCTCCCTTAGCTGTATTAGCACAAAGCACCAAACTGGGATGTGCCCATGAAGCTATGTGTCTGCTTACTTGTTGATGACACTGTGAGAAACTGTAGGCACAGGCAATTCTTTCAGAGCCTGGGATGGAACCAGCAGATGAATGGTGTTTTCTGCGTGGTCTTGAAGACTTGCATCCTCTCCTCGCCTCTCCTCTTCCGTTGTCTCTGTCCTTATCTGCTATTTCATGTCCTCATGTTTCCGCGTGTGTCCACACTGAGTCTGTGGTCAGTTCCCAGCTGTCTTTGGTACACCCCGCCCAGTAAGAGGAGCTGTGGACAATACAACTGAAGATAAGTTTGCAAGTCATTCCCAGCTGAAGGTGCTGACCCCCTGCTCCTCACAAGAGAATGCCTTGGCTCTCAGTGGTCCTCGGCATCGGTGGGGATTTCTTAGCTTTGTCTAGATGAAATCTTTAAAGCTAGAATCCAGGCACAAGTAGAGGGTTGGTAGGATGACAACAGAGACCCAGCCCCAGGGCAAAGAGAATGCAACCAATGTCCAACTAGATGGGTGGGGAGAGGAAGGCCACCTGGGCTCCTACTCCATCCTCAAGCAGGACTCAGGTTTGCCAGGATAGATGATGAAGTTACAGCTCTGTTTCCCCAAGGTCAAAATGGGACGAATTGGCTTTGCTAACCCCAGAGGTCTGTGCTCTTTATCATTCTCTTGGGGAAGAACGGAAAGTTCTGTCTGTTGTGATAGAAGAGGAAACCAAACAGCAAGTGCCTTGAAGAAGTGCCGAGGTGTGTGCATGAATCTGGGGAGTTAGTTCCTCCATCTTGATAGGCAGTATGTGGGCATGGAGGGCACTGGGGGAGAGGAGGTGAGGGTTGCCAGCCCCTGAGCCTCAGTCCCACGTGTACCACCCAAACCCCACCTGGTCCTATGCAGCTGCCGGGGTCTCACCATCTAAAACTTGTGGTAGCTACAGGTTTCCAACATGGCTGCAGGTTATTACCTTCAGGTTATTACGATGCTGGTACCGTGGTCAGCATCCCCACTCCCTTGAGCTTCCAAGATTTCAAAAAATAAGGGCATGGATGTGGAGGTACTCAAGCCCCACCCCAAACTCTGCCTCTCAAATATTTAGTTAAGCCCTGTCCCAGATACCACCCTCTATCCTATAAGGGACAACCCCAAACTTTGTTAAGCCACCCCCGTCTCCCCCTGTCTTCCTTTCTCTCTCTCAGCTGCCCACATTCCCTTCTGAGCGTGTGCTTCCTCTTTGCCTTTAACTTAAATCTTGCATCTCTACGCACCTTTATCTGTGTCTCCTCCTTGAATGCTTTCCCCTGTGAAACCCCTAGCCAGGGGCACCCCCCCCCACAGTGGTACTTGAGTTGGTCAGAGCATCACTCCCAGGTGGTTGGGAGCTCAGGGGTCTCAGGACTGGGACCAGGGTAGGAGTGGGATGAAGAACGATGGTGGATGTGCTTGAGGAAGCAGCATACCCATTACAGGGGCACTCCCCTCTCAACAGCGACTTGGGCTGTGGAGTTCTACTGAACCCAGAGGGGCACAGATGCTGGTTTAAGTCATGAACCAGTGAGCTCTTTTCATCTAGTGCTGGCTCCCTTGGAGAGAGTTAATGAGCAAGTTTTTTTCATTTCCTAGGGATGATGTCACAAAAGTACCACAGACTGGGTGACTTAAAACCACATAACTTTACTACCTTAAGTTCTGGAGTCTGCAGGTCCCAAATCAAGGTGCCAGCAGGGCTGTGCTCTCCTCGAAGAGAATGCCCCCCATGTCTTTCCCTTAGCATCTGTTGGTTTCTGGGAACCGCTGGTATTCATTGGCTTGCAGGTGCATCACTCTAGTCTCTCTCTTTCTCTCTCTCTCTTCATACAGATCTCATCCTGTGCATCTTCACATCATTTTCCCTTTGTACATGTCAGGCTCTGCCTTTTCTCCTTATAAGGACATCAGTCATGTTGTGTTAGGGCCTATCTTTATGACCTCAACTTAACTTTATTCCATTTGTAAAGACTGTATATCCCGATAAGATGGTATTCACAGGTATGGGAGTTAAGACTTCAGTATGTCTTCTTGGGAGGTCATAATTCAAACTATAGCAGCATGGAAGAAAAAAAAGCATTGTGGGAGATGTGTTTTCATCTGTTCCTGGTGAGGAGTTAGGAGATTTTTTTAAAAAGACTTATTTATTTGAGAGGCAGAGTTACAGACAGAGAAGGGGAAAGACAGAGAGAGAGAGAGAGAGAGAGAGAGAGAGAGGTCTTCCATCCACTGGTTCACTCCCCAAATGGTCAAGTGTGGCTGGAGCTGGGCTGATCTGAAACCAGGAGCCAGGAGCTTCTTCTGGGTCTCCCACACGGGTGCAGGGACCCAAGAAGTTGGGCCATATTCCCAGGCCATTATCAGGGAGCTGGATTGGAAGTGGAACCATACCAGGCGTATGGGATGCTGACGCCACAGGCAGAGGCTTAATCTACTATGCCTCTGTGCTGGCCCCGAGTTAGGAGAGTTAAGGCACCTCACATCACTTTTCTGGCTACCTCTAAATGCAGCCTCAGTTCCAGATAAGTTCAGACTTAAATTGACAGTGCAGTAGTCATTCCTTATCTGTGGGGGGCAAGTCCTAAGATCCCCAGTGGATGTCTGAAAGATAATTCTGAGTCCCACATACACTGTTTTTCCCTCTAAATGCCTATGATATAAACTAGACACAAGGAAAGAGTCACAGTAATAGCCACACATAGAATAGAGCAGGTACAGCAATATACTATAGTACAGTTGCCAGCATTCCTACTCTTGCTCTATGGAATCATTATTAAGTAAAATAAGGGTTACTTGCACACGAGCACTGCAAAACTGTGCCTGCGGATCTGAGTCCAAAGGGTTACTTAGTGTTTAGCTAAAGGATAGTGTATACAGTGTGGAAACACTGGATAATGGGAAGATTGTTGCCCTGAGTCGGACAGGGCAAGAGAGTGCAAGATTTTATCATGTTGTGCAGAACAGTGTGCAGTTTCAGACTTGTCAATTGTTTGGTTCTGGAATTTTCCACGTAATATTTTTAGACTGAGGTTGAGCCTGGGTAACTGCAACTATGGAAAATGAAATTGTGGATGTGGAGGGACTTATGTCCCATCCATGTCAATGCCACGCCCTCTGTGAAACTGCAGGGGAGCCAGGAAAGTGAGTGTCTCTGGGAGTGACCATCAACCCACAGGAGGTAGGAGCCAGGTGTCAATGTCCCACCTGACCCACGGCAGGAACAGTCTAGGGTATGTCCTGTGTGCTTCTCAGGGATTCCAATAGAACTGAAACCCCGAGTGTACGGCAGCTCTTCAATGATACATGCTTCCTTCCTCCTCCTGTCACTGTCTCTTCTCTTGCACCTGAGTCCTGGGGCTGCTTCATTCTCCTCCCCATCGCCCACACCCACCCACCCCCACCCCACTACCTGTAAAACTTGGTATTAAAGCCTCAGGTGCAACTTAGGGTGGGTTCCAAACTAGGACATAACAAGACATGGGGAATGGAGAGGACCGGAGGTGTTTGTTTCCCTGGTTATAACCTGGCTCTGACCCTGCAGGGCTGCGAACGTCCAGGCTATGAGCCCTGTAAGGCCTGTGAAATCGTCTGGTCTGGCTGTGCCAGCACAGCTGCAGGTGGGACTGGAGATTCAGTCAATCCATAGCAGGCCAGCTTTCAAGTTGATCATTTTGTACGGCCCATGAAGGATGCCATAAGTATCCCAATGGCCCTTGGCAGAAGAAGCGTTCCTACCCCTGCTTAGAGAACGCCATTCATCAAATGCTTTACCTTGTGCTAAGCACAGTACTAGCATCATCTCTTGCCATCCTCTGTCATGGCTGGAACCATGGCTCTCCAAAGGTCGTGTCCACTCGTAACCTCTGGAAACCATGACCTTGATGTTACTCGGAAGAAGGGTCTTTGCCGATATAACTAAGGGTCTCAGAATACCTGGGAGGGGCCTACAGGACGGGTGTCCTTCTCAGAGACACGCAGAGGAAAAGGTGTGATGGTCTGTAATCCAAGAGATGCCGAGGATTGCTGGAGGCGTCAGAGGCCAGGAGAGATCCGTGGGTAGATGCTCCCCGAAACCCTCAGAAGGAACCAGCCCTGCTCACAGCTCGATATCAGCCTCTGGTCTCCAGAGCTGTAGGAGATCCACGTCTCTGATCTTAAGCTACACAGTGTGGCCATTAGATATAATAACCAGCAAATGAATATTCCTACCAGTCCCCTAAGCCAGTGGTTGCCGTGTCAGTATCATGGGTGTGAACACTGAGCCTTGCACAGTTGCATTAATGTCTCTTAAGTGGATTTGAATCCAATTCAGTAGTGCTCAGAGTCCTTACCTGTATTTCTGGACAGTCTTCTTCAGGGACGAGTGCCAGATTCCCTCCGGGGAGAGGAAGAGTAGAGGTGCCCGAAGAGGCTCTTGTCACAGAATTCAAGGACTCTGTAGTTCTTCTGTAGAGCTCAGGTGGTGCAGGGCGCACACAGAGAAGATCACGAACAAACTTGGCAAAGGAGGCCTCGCTGGGTGCTCCGGACAGCACTGGACAATGGAAGTGAGAACGATCCTGAGGCTCTGCCCTTTCTGAAACCTGTGGATACTGAAGTCATTGTAACCTTATTAGGATGCGGAGGCCTGGGTGTGCCTTTGTCGTGCAGGGCTTCTCTGTAAGCCATGTTTTAGAGAGAAAGGTCACTGCGGGGCTGGGGGAAGGACGTGGATAGTGAGGTCACCTCGGAGGTGGCGAGAGGCCAGGAAGGAAGCAGGCAGGGGTCAGGATCAGAGCTGAGAAACAAAGGGTAAGTGCAGCTTCTCCCGGAGAGTCCTTTCGCCCCGAAAACAGGGCCTCTGCCGTCACGCGGCCTGCAGCCAAGCCAGCTGGACGTGTCGGGCATAGACTATCCATTGCATCTGCACACGAGTAGAGAGGATGGAACAGCTAAAGGGAAATGTGAGATTAGCTGGACGGAAAGTCTTTCTCAAAGCTGGTGAGTGCATGAAGAACCACCCTTCAGGGTCCGTGAGAAGCCTTGCGCATCCGTCGGATGGGCGCTGTGTGGCTGGGCTGGTACCTGCTACTAGGTCTCTGTCTATCTTTTATTTATTTGTGCATTTGTTTATTTATTCAAGAGGGAGCGCAAGCACTTGCATTCACTGTTTCACTCTTCAAATGCCCCCGTAGCCCCTGGTCAGGGCCGTAGCCAGGAACCAAGAGCTCAGTCCAGGTCTCCCACGCGAGTGGCAGCCGCCCAGTCACTTGAGTGATCATTGCTCCTTCCCAGCACTGGCGTTAGCAGAATCTGAGATCAGCAGCCGAGCTGGGTGTGGAACCCAGGCACTCTGATAGAACGTGGACTTTCAACAGGAGGCTCAGCTGCTAGGCCAAATGCTCACCCCCTAAGCCTTTCGACGTTAGAGAAGTAACATAGACTTTGATATGCTTGTAGTTGGATGAAATAAAAAGTGTTCATCTCTCAGAAGAAAAATGTGTAAGGGTGCACAGTCAAAACCAGAGTGATGTTTTTTCAAACTCCACATTCCAAGGAAGATGAGAGAAAGTGGTAGCAAGGTGACGCGGTGGTGAGACTCTTCGTAGGCTGCAAGGAAAAGGCGCCATAGATTAACTTAAGCCCCAGCTGTCAGCTACGCATCACACATCGCTGTCTCTCCCTTTCCATTGCCCGTGGCAGGCTTCACTAATCTATCGTGGCGCGTCTTCTTTCAGAGTTCTGTCAAGGCTTTGCATCTCAGGACTTAGGCTGAGCACTAGCAGAGCAGCTTGAGGATGGAGCCCTGGGCCCCCTCCCGCCCTCGCGATGAGGGTTTGGAAGCACCGAGCAGCTGGAGATTTGTGTATACCTCACTGTTTCCAAGACGGGGCTCCAGAACTTCAGGAAACTGAACTAATGGTGCATTTCCACTCTGTGGCCAGCAACAGTTTTAGCAGTCTCCACTTCCTCTTTGGCTCCCATTTATATGTAGGGATGGAGCGAGAGAGAGAGAGAGATATAGAGAGCATTTAATTGGGACAACTTGCCATCAGTCAGTAAGGTGTGTCTTTGCCAGTGTAGACCCTCTCCAGAGCCACTTATGGAAGGCCGACGGCCATCATGCACCCCTATTCTCTGACCCTTTATCCAAGGCTCAGTAAACGTTTATGAAAAGGGCCACATAGGAAAATTTCAGCCTTTGTAGGCCATGCAAACTACTCGGCTCCATCACTGGAGAACTAACTTCCCCGTAGGTAATATGGAACCTGATCATTGCTGTGTTTCAGTCAGACTTTATTTACCAAAACAGGTGCCTGCAGCCCACTGTTTCCGACCATTGCTTCGGCCAATCAGTTGTGGCCAGGGCAGCAGGGTCAGATAGCAGCACATGGGCATCCTTCTGCCAGAGGACCTGTGTCTTCCTCAGCAGGAGACTGTGTGTTTTGTGTTTTGCAAATGTTGAGTGGGTCCTGGACTCTCTGGAGTGGAAATGAACTCCATAGCTGCAACTATGCTTGCCATGCCCAGGTCGCAGTGAACAAAGCTGCGTCTGTTTTTGACCTCTTTTTCCTGCTTTCTTTTATTGTGGTATCTTTTTTGCATGTAACAAAGGTGGACAGCACGTGGCATGCCTGCCGCCACTCCCCTCGGCCTCGCCCGTGGCAGACACTACCAATTGATCCCAGCGCTCTTTCTCACTGAGTCCATAGGTGACCCCAAATCCTTCTGACTTGCAGCAGTCACAGCCAGTCAGTCCCTCAGAGGTGACAATCCAAATGCAAATCCGTTTGCTTTGATGAGAAAAAGAGAACAGGAAACAGGAATGACAATGAGGTTTGAGAACAGGGTAAGTCCAAAACGCGTTCAAGCTATGATGGTCAGCTGCTTCTCACCTCTGGGCCAGCAGCTCTGCTTCAGCAGCTCAGGGCCGCCGAGTTGCTGTGCATACTCCCTGTTTCCATAGACGGCCTCACTGTCGCCATCCGGGAGGGCCCCTGGGAGCCGTGTCCCAGCTGCTTCCTGCAAGCTGCTTGCAAGAGATGTTTGCAGCCCCAGAGTTTGAAGCCAGACCCAGCGATGTATACAGCGCCCCCAGGCATCAGGCCCAGAGCTGACTTCTGCCCGAGCTGGCACCTGGAGGAACACCGCCTCTTCATCTCCCCATTGCAGTCGGCACCTCCTGGGTAGCACCGCGAAGAGGAGGAGAAATCGGCTTTTAACACCGACAGTGACCTTTCTTAAGCGCCTTCCTCTGCGTTTGATCTAGCAAAGTGGGAGAGGTCAGGCCTGGGCCTCGGAGAGCGAGAGGCCTTGTCAACAGGCAGTCGCAGCCGTGCGGGGATGGGGGCGGTCAGAGGCGAGGCTGGCGGGTGCAGCCCGGGAGCTCACCTGGAAAATATTTCAGAAGAAGCTGTCACGGGCACTGCTGAGTGCCGACAAGACGTGTCGGGGAATCCAGTCAGTGCTTTTAGGAAGCACTCATTTTCTCTCGCAGAGTCTTGCTGGCTTTCTAGTTAGGGGCCCACAGGGAGTTTGCTGGCATTGAAAAATTAGCCAGAAGAATTGGAGCAGCAACTGTGGGGAAATGGGCTTCTTTAGGCGGCCGGAACAAGGTCTTGTCTTAAACTCGATTTGCTTCTCTTCTCCTCGCTCTGACCTCGCTGGCGACCGCGGCAAGTTGGTTGGGCTCTGTGTTCCCCATTGGCAGAGAAGGGTGCAGTGGTCGGGACGAGGGCTCTGCATCACCCTCCCTGGGGCTGAGCCCGAAGCCCACCACTTGCTAGCTGGGCGACCCTTGACAGGTGACTCAGCCTCTCTGTCTCCGTTTCCTCGTCTGCAAAAGAGCGATAGAACAGACGGCCATCAGCTTATGATTTCCTGACTTCATGATGCCGACATACACTTCCAAGGGTCCTGCACTTTGGAGGTTGAATTTTATTGTGTCTTACGCAGTAAGACTTTCTTTTTTTTTTTTTTTTTGGACAGGCAGAGTTAGACAGTGAGAGAGAGAGAGAGACAGAGAGAAAGGTCTTCCTTCTGTTGGTTCACCCCCCCAAATGGCTGCTACGGCCAGCGCGCTGTGCCGACCCGAAGCCAGGAGCCAGGTGCTTCCTCCTGGTCTCCCACGCAGGTGCAGGGCCCAAACACCTGGGCCATCCTCCACTGCCTTCCGGGCCACAGCAGAGAGCTGAACTGGAAGAGGAGCAACCGGGACAGAACTGGTACCCCAATCAGGACTAGAACCTGGTGTGCCAGCGCCGCAGGCGGAGGATTAGCCTAGTGAGCCGCAGCGCCGGCAGAGGCACACCCTTTTTCAATGTGCAGTACTGAGTTCTGGCTCTGGTTAGCTGTGCTCAGGTAACCACCACCACAGTCGGAGTGAAGAACATGTCCATCTCCCTGGAAAGTCCCTTCTGTGCCGCCTCCACCGGAGCCATGGCAGCCACTGGTCTGATGTCTCTCCCCGTCACTTCCTGTTCTCCACCACGTCACACAAAAGGGATTGCTCAGCACATAGCCTGAAGTGTTAGCTTCCGGCCCTCTGTGTAATGTCCTGGAGAGCCACCTGTGTTTTCGTGTGGGCTTGGCTCCCTTTCATCACTAAGTAAAGTGTCAGTGCCCACATGTTGTGCAGCCATTCATCAGTTGATGGGCGTGGTGGCTGTGTCTGGTTTGGAGCAGCTATGACTGGCACTGTCGTGAACATTCAAATCCAGGTCTCCTTGCGCACGTGTGTTTTACGTCTCTCAGGATAATGCCTTGGGACAGTGTTGCTGGGTAACAGTGCACGAGTGTGTTTACCCACTGTTTTCTAAAGCGGCTGTACCGTTTTGCCCAGAGGGTATAGAAGTTCCAGTTGTAGGGCCAGTGCTGCGGCATAGAAGTTAAGCCTATGCCTGTGGTGCCGGCATCCTGTTTGGGGACTGGTTCGAGTCCCATCTGCTCCACTTCCCATCCAGCTCCTTGTTAATGCTCCTGGGAGAAGCAGCAGAGGGTGGCCCAGGTTCTTGGGCCCCTGCACCCATGTGGGAGTTCCAGAGGAAGCTCCTGGCACCTGATTTTGGCCTGGCCCAGCCCCGGCTGTTGTGGCCATGCCATTGGAGGAGTGAACCAGCAGGTGGAAGATTCTCTCTCGCGCTCTCGCTCTTGCTCTCGCTCTCGCTGTCTCATGGGTGCACTCGCTTGCTCTCATACTCCATATTCCTGCTGGCATTCGGTCTGGTCAGTTTCTTTGCTTTTCATTTTCTTTCTTTTTTACATCTTATGCTGGTAGGTGTGGCGTGGTCTTTTTATTGCGGCTTGGATTGGGACTCCCTGATGGCTAATACTGGCGACCATCTTTGCATGTGCTTTTCAGCAAACACAGCTTTGGTGAGTGTTTGGGATTTTAGGAGTAAGAACAGAGTTTGTTGGAGGCCTTTCAGTCCTCTGTCCTTAAGGATTCTGCGATGAGAGATAAAGGTGGAAGCCGTGCGTATCTGCTTGGATCCATTGTGTTTTGAGTGCCAGGTGGACTTGCCTAAGTGAAGGGACTGGCGGGTTCTGCTTGCCGCCAGCTTGAATGAAGTCTGTTTCTTACCATTCCTCGGCTCTGCCTTCTGCTCTGTTGGCCTCACTGCCGAGCTCCCCAGGGCTGTTCCCTTTTGTGGGAGAGACAGTGCCAGTGCTCTAGCAAACTCCCTCCCCACAGATCCCAGTGCGGCAGGTGCAATACCTGCTTCTCTCCTGACTGGGAGCGCACACTGGCTTCATGGCCTGGGGGCGGGGCCAGCTGGAGCCCATCCCGTGGTCACATCTGGCTGTGTGGGGCTCTTTGACTGTCTCTGGGTTGTGTTCCTTCCCTCAAAGGAGGGCAGCCCATGGAGGCAAAGGGAAGACTCTGCTCCGGGTGTCTGGGACCCCTACATTCCATGGGCCGAGAGCTCCGGCTCGTCTTCCCGGCTCTGCAGACCCAGCCCCCTCCCCGGCCGGCCCTTCAGCGATGCCGATGCTTCTGCTCCCGGACCTGAGGGCTGGAGACCTGAGTGGACTTGAGGCCTTGGGGTGTGGGGGGTAAACGGGTGGAAAGAAGCAGCGAAGGCTTTCCTGGTCCTCTGTGTTCTCCAGGAAACTCTGGGAAGCCCGAGTGGTCTAAATCCAGGCACTTCCTCTGGCCTCAGGTTCCTTAAAAACCTTAAAAAGTGGAGTCTAGTGGGATGCATGCTTGGAGAACTTTATGGGTACAGCTGGCTACCTCAGACTAGGAGGGGTGAGCACAGCCCTTACGGGGCTTGGTTTGTCCTCCTGCCCTGCATGTCCCAAGGCCAGTACCAGGAAAGGATTAAGGGTGCCAGCGTCTTATTAAGAGGAATAGCTACGGCAGGCCTCGCCGAGGGAAGGCTGGGGTGGTGGGTGTCACACAGATGCACATCTGACCCCTGGTGCAGGGATGAGGGAGGGACGCTTGGGTGGACATGTCCCAGACCACCCTGAAGCCTGAGGAAGTTCAACAAGGCCTTGGTGGGAGGTGGGGATGCCAAAGCCAAGGTTGGCCTTCAAGGGCATCCCTGTGTTCCCAGAACCCATCTGCCCTGGTGTCCATCATTCCTAGTCCCTGGCTGGGGTATCCCATGGGAAATGCAGCCCTTCCTGAGCAAACAC